CCACTCTGGCACCACAGTGTTACATCCCTGACAGAGCAGAGCCACGACCCTGGGAAGACCCACACAGGCCGTGATGGAAGAGTCCACACAGGCAGCACAGCCCTCCTGGGACAGAGCTGGCCAGCAGCCCCAGTGGCACAGCACATGGGAGGAAAGGGCTCGGGGAGCCACGTTCTGTGCCTTTGCTTAGTCATTAACCTCATATTTAGAGAGACTTTAGGGGGGACTGGGAGAGGAATCTCCTGTTATCTCTGAGCATTTAATCACCAAGACTCTTTGGTCCCCAGATGGATGGGCCAGCATTGTGAATTCTGGAGGGTTAGGTGTGATGCTACCCTCCTGAAGGGATGGGAACATTTGTCTATCCTCTCAAGGCCCCCTTGTCCCTCTTACTGGGGGCTGAGCCAGAAAAGGGGATGCCACCCCTACACCCCAGAGCTGCACTGGGGAAGGGCTGTGGCCTCAGAACAGCTGCAGCAGCAGTGCCTAAATAATTTCTGGTGGTGATTTTCACCCCTACCAGGTGCTAAATGCCTTTCTGCTCCAGGGACTGGCTCTCAGCTCTGGAGACACAGGGTCAGTTGTGTGTCTGGTGAACCACCAACAGCACTTCATACAGAAACTTTTGGCTGAGGTATGAGACCCCCACCATGTTCAGCCCCATTCCCTGGGATGAATGTCTGGAGGGGACCTCTCATTCCACCCAGCTCCTGGCGTGTGCCTGCTCCCAAGGGCTCTGGGCTGCAGGACACCATCCCTGTACCAAACACAGCTCTGTGTCCCTGCTCTGTTTTCCCCTGGGGAAGCAGAAATCCCCCTGGGAGCTCCCCATCTGACACCCCTTCCCTCTCTGGGAACATTTTTGGTGCCACCCCAGGGACTTCTCCTCCTGCAGCCCCCGGCTCATCCCACCCAGCAGAGGGGAGAAGACAGAGGGGACTTACCATTGCCCATAGCCAGCACCTGCATGTTCTCAAACTCCAGGGTGGTGTATGCCGGGTCTAGCGCTGCGCTATAATCTGCCATCTCCATGTCTATGAGGGCTTTGGAAAGGCGCATTATCCTCGGCAAACACGGGCCAGATTGTACCGATTCCCTTGTCCCAGGCTATTGGCCCTCCTGCCTTCCTCTGTCTTCACTGCGTCCCCTACCTGTTGTCTTTTAATTCAGATATTTCTCTGAAAGGATTTGCTGAGCCTCAAGGCCTATACTCCCAGAGGGGTGGAGGCAGGAGGCAGGGGGTTAATCTTTAATCATCTCACCCATTGCCGAATACTGCTAAGCTGGTTTCTTTTTTTTTTTCTTTTTTTTTTTTTTTTTTTTTTTTTTTTTTTTTTTTTGGTGGAGCAGCAGTGATTCTTGTTGACTGTTTATTATTGGATCTCAAGGCGTTTCTGATCCAGGCAGCACCACAGGAGCAGGCACTCGCCGAGGGCTATTGACCTTGATGCTGAGCTGCTGGTGTTGCTCTTAATTGTCCCTGGGGTGGAAAACTTGGAAAAAGCCCTAGCAGGAGAATAAGGCTCTTCTCCACTTCTGTCATTGCCTTCCTCTCCTCACCACTGGTTGACTACACCCCTGTTTTTCCCTTTTCTTGCTCCCTCCATCCTTTCCAGTCCTTCTTTTCTCTCCCTCACGGTCAGAGAAGGTCAGCTCCTGCCTGGAAATGTACATGTTGCTATATAAAGTAAAACGTGTGACTCCTTTTACTTCCCTATAAACCAAGATTTACAGGGGGCTGGATGCTCTATAAACAGATCCCATCCTGCAGCCATGGCCAAACAGCGAGCAGGGCTGGGGGGTGGCACAGACACCCTGGGAATCACCAGGGTGGCTCTTGTCCCACAGCTGAAATCACCCTGTGCCAGACACCCCCCAGCCTTGGGTTTTGGCTGATATGGCATAAAAGTTTCATGAGACATGTTACAAGGGAGCAGCAGGAGTTTTCCTTCTGCGGGTGCACTGTCTGCTGCCAGCACCAACAGCGGTTCTGTGCCTCACCCAGACCTCGGGTCTGACCCCACTGGTGCTGGGCAGAGGGGCCAGAGCTGCCTGAGCTCTCCTCCCCAGCTGCCCCATGGCACATCGCTCCTCCACTTCAGCCAGAACTGAGACTTTTCAGTGCAATTGCGAGATCATTGAGTGGGAATTTAACCCATCTCTGAATGGCACCGACTGCATGGCGCAAGAGAACCAGGAATTAATGATTTGGTATCAGGTCGCTCTGCAGTGAAAACAGCCCCGTGGTTTCGCAACCAGCAGTGACTGAGTCCACACGCTGCCGATCTGGGCTCCCAGAGCCTTGTGTTTGCTCTTCCCAGGCACCCCAATGCAGCCCCAACCCCACTGGCACCACAAGCTGCCCTGGCCACGGTGCCATCACTGCCACGACACAAATCCAGTCTCTGGCTCCACACCAGTAGATGCCTTTGGGAAGTTAGGCTGGTCGTGATTTTCTGTTCACATTTTAGGAGCACATGGAATTGTTCAAGCAGCTGTCTGCTCCCACAAAACTAGGACCTACATAACACTTCTGAGCAGCTTTCTACCCTGAGGCTACAGGTCTGCCGGAGTGAATCTGAGCACAGGGGAGAACCTTCTGCTTTCCCATACTTGGGAGGTGAGAAATGATCCTTTGCTGCAGGGGAAACAGTTTCAGTCAGTGCTCCTGAGGGACAGGCATTCATGTGCTGGTGGCTCTTCCTTTAGGCAGATACAGTCCTTGCCAAAAACTGGTTTTATGATGTGCAGACTGGGATGGAGATGCAAGAGTACAGCATAGCCCCCTTGATAGCCTCGTCCCAGAGACCTCCATCCCAATCCTGGCCAGGCCATGGTGATCCCTTTGATTAGATAAATGCTACAGACACCAGGTCAAATATGTGCAGGATTTGCCCCAGCGTCTAGTAAAATATCGTAAAAGCAGGGCCTGTTCTGCTCTGCTCAGCAAAACAAATCTTTTTCTTCAATAGCCTGCTGAGCAAGGAGGCTGCAAAGGCCATTTACTTCCCAGGCAGGAAGGATTAAAAGGGCCAGGAATAGAAATCGGAGAGGCAGCGTGTGCGGGAGAGCGGCAGATAAGGAGCGGGGAAGTTTGGAGAGCATTAGGTGGCTCACAAGGCCGGGGCTGTCAATGGGACATGGTGTTTTCCACCCAGGGTTGTGTTGACTGTTGTGTTCTCACTGCCAGTGTCCTCTGTGGGTCACCAGTGCCCCCTCCCAAATCCCTCATGTTGGTGTGGAGGTCGAGGGCCAGACCAGCCAAGGACACCACGCACTTTGCCCTGGAGATGGGCTCCGCTGGAAACGCGTTGGCTGCTCCCTGGGCCCTGTTGCTGGAGATGATGTCTCCCCTGGTGTCTTCTACCTGGGGAGTCTTCGTCTCCCCCTGGCATCGTTGTGTGCTGAGTTTTGGGACAGCTTGCCAATGCACTCGTGGCTTGTACTGGCCAGCAGGACCCCACAGCTCTGTTTTGGGTGGGAGATGTTTGAGTCAGCAGCTGCTTGTGGGGCTGTTTCAAACACTTCTGGCTACAGATGTTTAGCCATTTTTATTCCACAGAGAGACAACTCATAGCAGACCCCCACTGATAGGTGAAGGCTTTTCCCAGACTAGGTGCTCTGGGGAAGTTCAGCTCCCAGCTCTGCTCCTCTCTCCTGTCCCCATTTTCTGTACGCTGCACCCACTGTTTCCTGTGTCAGGACATGGTTGCAAAGGAGACCATGACAGCTCTGGGGCATGACCTGTTCTGTGCCAAGTGATTATTTAATTTTTATCTGTTCAGCAGTAAATCCTTTCCCACACTGGCACATCATGGCACTAATTCTTGCCTTATCTATATATCACCATCTGGCAAATTTATGCAAACATAAAGGGGATTCCCTGAAAATAAGATCTGTGCTTCTCAATAGGTGAGGATCAGGAACAGAGTATTTAATAGGGCATTTTTGGTAAGGATGCCGTCACCTGTGCTTGCTAGCTATGCATGTCAAGCAGGTGAGCAGGCCCCTCTCAAGGGGCTTGTCTCTGTTGCTTCTTGAACAGGTTGTTGTAGGATCAGAGGATAACTGATGTTGGAAGGGACCTCAGAGTCCCTGTTCCAGGCTCCTGCTGGAAACAGGGCCAGCTGTGGTTCCTTGCAGCTTCATCTATTTGGGTCTTGAACACCTCCAAGGATGGAGAGCAGCCTCAGCAGCCAGCTGGCGCTTGACTGTCCTCATGGTTAGACACTGGCTGAACGTCTCTCCAGGTTTTATGCCTCTTGATCTCCAGCCATGCACCCTGTGAGGAGCCTGGCCACACCTTTTTGCTGTTCTGTGTGTGTTATGCTCCTGCAGTTGCTGCTGGCCCAGCTCTCCCGCCTGATGCAGGACACAGCCCTGTCTACCAGTGGATCGACCAGGCGCCCCAGTCTGGGGTTGCCTGCAGAGTTTCTGAGCATTGACCATGACCAGGGGCCCTCCTGCCCTTTGCTTTTCTCTCTCACAGCTCTGCACTCTTAAGAAATGCCCGGCAGAAAAGGCAGTGCCCAGAGCCAGCAGGAGGACCACCCTCAGCTTTCATCGGCAGTGCCATCGCTGGCCCTGGCAGCCCTGACTCCAGAGCTCTGCTCCCGTGTCACTCACACTTCCAAGGCCATTGTAGAGCTGGAATATTTCACATGGCCTTTTTTCCCCCACATGCACACGAAGCAGAGATGGGCTGAGGTGTGAAAGCTCTCCAGAGCAGCAAAGGCCTGAACAGGCCAGGGCCCTGCTCAGCCCGTCGCCATTTCACGAGCGAGCTGTGGGGAAGCAGGAAGCCCAGTTACGAGACAAAGAACAAAAGTCCCAGGGGAACGTCACCAGCGTAGTCATCTCCACACATGCAAAGGTCCCTTCTGACTTTTTTTTTTTTCCCCTTTGAAATTTCAAATTCCAGTTTGTGGACAAAGTCCTGCCTATCTGAGAATATAGATCTCCGACCACTGACCAAACTCCACTTCAAGCAGTCCCGAGGACTGCTCTTCCCCTTGCCCATGGACCTGTCTGCTCAGTCCCTGGATCTCCCAGGATCATGCCGAAAATTTTGCTCTGGAACACAGCACTGGTACTTGCACAAAGTGGATTTTAAACTTAATGTCAGCAGCTTCCTTTCTGGGAAGAACCTCGGGAATAACCAGGTAGGAGCCTTATCAGCAGCAATTAATTTGGCCAGGCATTGCAGAGAGAAAATGAGAAGGAGAAACAAGGGCTTCCATTGTGCTTGTACCAGCAATTTTAGCTCATCATTTAAGTAAGGGAAGGGGGGGAAAAAAAAAAGCAGCTTCAGAGGGGATGAAAAACAAGAGGAAACATAAGCTTGTGGAGGCAGAGCCACTCTTTATGGTTAACTGATAACTCCAATTTGCCTCTTCCCTCTCATCTTTTCTGATTCTCCCAATTAAGCTCAACTTATTCTCATGCTAATCATTTCTTGACCTGTTTATTCTGCATTAAAAAATTAACAGAGAGCAGTTTACTGCATGACTTGCTCACACAGAGCTGCTACAGATTAGCAGGCATGCTTTAAGCCCCTACACAGGACTTTTGGGTCTCGCAGCCAGTCTGCACAGCTCGAGGATGAGCTTTTTTTCCTGTTTTTAAAGAACAGCTTTTTCTAAAGTCAATATAAACCCCCCTCCTTTCATGCCTTGAGTATATTTGCTCGGTGACTATTTCCAAATGGGAAAGATAAAGCCAAGGGCTTGTGTTTTGTCAGACTTTTTGTAAACAGGGGTATTTAGGCCATACTGTCAAACCCTCCTGCCTTCTGCCTTGGCGTGCCGTGACTCCAGAGCAGAGTTGTCAGAGTGTTAATAAGCAGCTCCAAGGAATTTGTTGGTGCTGGGGGGCTGCAGGTCAGCACAAGCCCCCAGCTCAGGGGGCAGATCTTTGCCTCTGCTCTTGGCAATCATATGACAGACACACAAATGGGGGTCTGCTCCCATGTCCCTCCCCAGAACTTCCCCAAAAGCTGTGAGAAGCCTCCAGGAAAACAGATGATTCAGCAGAGGTTGTTTAGGGTCTGTTTGCCCCTTGCCAGCTGCACACTGCACATCCCTGCCCCAGCAAAACACTTTGTGGAGGTGAAAATGAGCCACCAGCTCCATCCAGGGAGGTGGAGTGGAAAGATCTAGCAATGAGAGGCAGGAGGAGACCACAGCCACGTGCCAGACCTTGCCTGGGGAAGATACAATCAATTTTATCATCCTGTTGAACAGCAATCACTCCTGGTGATTTACTTTCCCCAGGGCCTGTGGCTGGGGTTGGGGCAGATTTGCTGTTTGGAGCTGGGGGCAATGCCCAAGACAGACAATCCCTGAGCAGAGCACAGACACACTGCCGCTGCTGAGCTTGTGACATGTGCTGGCACCCCAGCACAGCTCAGGGGGACAGAGGCAGCTTCATTGCAACCTTAGGCTGTTTCTGACCAAAGTTATCAAAACCAACTAATTTTGTCCTGGTCCCCAGACCACAAAATCCCCGTATGGAGAATCGAGGCAGCTTTTGGGTGTGGGGAAGAGTTAGTTTACAGAAGGTATAAGACTCTGCCTGAACTCCTCTCCAAAAGCAACATGTGCATTTCAGCCTCAGCTGGGATGATGTTAGGCCTGGAGGCAATTATTGGAGCTAAAATAAATAGCTGCTCTGCAAAACTGGTAGGGAAAGAACTGCAAACATGGGTACAGACAGACCATTTCAGCATATACTGCTCTGGTGATAACACTGTGCTTGCTTTTCATCCCAGGACTAGAGAGGGGTTTATTATCCTGCCTAACAAGGGCTCTGAACTCTTGAGGAAGTAATTCTTATTTCTCCTGAGAGCTGTTATTATGCAAGGACAGTGAATTTGAGCTGTTCTCAGAAGGAAGGCTGTACTTGAAAATGGCAGGGCACTTGCAGATGTGTATTTGCCATCCCTCTGCCTGCACTGCAGCCCCTGAGAGCAGCATCTGCCTCTGGGGCCTGCAGTTTTGTAGCTGTGACTCTGGAAACCTGCCTGCTTTGTCTTCTTGCAAAATCACACAATGAGCCCAGGGCCAAGAGAGGGAGGGGAATAGATTCATCTTCTTCCATTCCACCAGCTGCAGCTTGGCCCAAGCTACAGCTCCCACGACTGATCCCACCTGCCCCCTTAGGGCCCTACACCACAAGCACTGCACTCCATCCAAACCCCAACCCGGACACTTTCCTGCTAACACTGTTTGGGAGGAAGTCCAGAAAAGCTCTGACTTTGCCATGTGCTGTTCCAGGTTCACTGACTACACTGGCAAAAGCTTGGCTGAAATCCAGTGGTTTAAGCCCCATTTAAATGGGGGAGCAGGAGCCTCAGGGCAGCAGCAGCACTGGAAAGAGGGTTTGCTGTCAGCAGCAGACACCTATTGCTCTCCATGCCTGGCCAGCTCACACATTCAGTGTGGCAGGGATCTCAGCAGCCTGCTCTGGACCTAGGGGGAACTTGTTTAGCAGATGGGTATGATTCCTTTGGGCCTGAAGGAATCCTGAAGCTTCCAAGGAAAAGGATCCCTCCTGAGCTCACAGTCTGGCAGACAAGTGAGTCTCTCCCTTCAGCCCTGCCAGCTGTTTGCAGGGCTTTTACGTTTCATTGACATTTATACATTCATTATACACACATGAAACAGCCCCTGAATCGTTTAAGCTGTGGAGCAATAGGTGAAGGAGGAGAACAGCCAAAATCAACAGAGGTTAAACATCAAGTTTTAGCTCTTTTTTTTTTAAATAACTTTTTGAAAAGCTGAGTGCATCGGGAAGCCACATCTGGAAGTGACCTCCAGTGGCTGCTGGGGCTCTCAGGATCAGCTCTCCCTCAAAATTGAGGCAAAAGACTGAATGCTGCTGAGGGGTGGAGGGAGAGCTGCAACAGGACAGGGGTGTCAGGGGACAGTCTGAGCCCATGGCCCTGGAGGAGGGCAAGTCAAGGGCACCTCAAGAGCAAAAAGCATCTTCCTGGACCAAACAGCTCCAGCTGCCCTCCTGCCCCAGGCTGGCTGGCAAAGTCAGCCCCAGCTGGGGAGCTGAACCTGGGGGAACAGCCCAGGACAGGGCCATCTCTGCCTGGTGGGAGGAAGCATGAGGAAGGAGGGAGGCTGCTGCAAGTGGGAGCACTGGCAGGTCTGAATCAGGAAAGGCAGGCTGGGCATGAAAAAAACCCCATAAAACACAAAGGGGTGGTAAGTTAAAATTTGGGAGATTCTAGTTTCTGGAGACAGAAGGAGATAAGTTAATGCAAAATGCTTTTTCTCTGCAGGAGTGTGGGGAGTGCCTGAATAACCTGCCGTGTCCCCAAAGTCCTCAATCACTAGAGCACAGCAAGGGGTGAGTGAGAACCAGACAACACTCAGGAGCTCCAGGTCCACAGCAGCTGCACACCCACCACACACCCTCCTGTGTGACACAACCCTCCTGTCCACTGCCAGAGAAACAAAAACACAGCAGAAGGCAAGGTACAGGAACATGGGAGCCTTCTACATGAAAGGTTTGTTGCATGGGGGACAGCAAAGGCAGGAGATCACACATCCCTACAGTTCCAGAAAGCCATGGCCAGGCACTGCAGGGCCAAATACCTGGCTCCCAGCTAAAAAACATGGGAAACTGCTAATCAGCCCATGAGTATTTGACCTAGGTCTGCAACACTGGGTAACGCTATTGTTTGTCCCTTTACGTTCCTGCAAGTCCCAGTGCCATTGGCCTCTTGTATCATAAAGAAATTAAAATGTATTATGACCATAAACTACATCATTTGAGGAAATGAACCACTTCTAGTAAACATATCATGGGACACTGAAGCCATGAACTTTCCTAAATCAATTGCCAGCTGATAAAAGAGCGCAGATATTGCTGGGAGCAGCCCCCAGCATGTGACTCCCCACTGGCATGGGGAGCTCATCCAGTGGGATGGTGACTGGGGGTGCAGGCTACCCCAGGAGGCACAAACCTCACCACCAGCACAAGCCCTGCTTGGGAGGAATAGCTCAGGCAAGAGGAGCAGCTCAGTTTTTGAGTCCTGGAGTGGAATGGAGGCTGTTGGGGTGTTTTGGGGGTGAGGTTGTGTGAGGCATAGGGGTCCAGGGCTTAGGAAGCACCAAACGTGTCCAAGTTCCTCACGGTGCTGGTAGTGGTCTGCAGGAACTTGGACACATTTGGTGCATCCTAAGCCCACCCAGCCTCCTGGCCTCCACACCGAGGTCCCCGTGGATGCTGGGGTTGAGGGGCTGAGTACAGAGCTGGCTGGAGAGGGCCACAGAGGGGAACCCTGAAAACCTGTCTGGTAAGGACTCTGTGCAACCAGTAGAGTTTGCACTGGAAGTGTTTTTCTCTTAGTTGCTTCTAAGCTTTCATTATGAGGGCTGGGAAGTTGGGCTGCAGACCTGGCTCAGGAGCAGAGGTTGTGCTGCAAGTGGCCCGATCTGTCCCCAGGCCAGCTGAGGCTGCAGCCCGGGGCAGTAATGCCAGGCACTGGGAACTGGCCTGAGAATGACTGAATCATTTCCCAGACAGCACAGGAAATCACTGGGGTACCCACGGGATGCCAACCTAACTCTACCACCTCTTCCCCCAGGAGTCACAGCACCCACCATGCTGCCCATGTTGGGGCATCTCTCTCTTGAGCCCCAGAACTAACCTGGAGCCATCACCACCCACAAATCTGGTATGTTCACCCTGCACGAAGCCAAACAGAAACCAGAGACATGGGGGTCCCATCCGGTGGGGACCAGCAATACCAGTGGGAATGAGCATGTTCTGGCAGCTCCAAATCCACACTGGAGACCCTGTCAATGCCCTTCATTCACATAAACTCTGCAGCGCTGGTTATGCAGCTGCTTCTCTCCCTGCTGAAGTGCTGGGGGAGCAGGGGGGTACCTGGTGTTTCCTGGAACAGGTCGTATCTGCTGCCATTCATCTTCCAGGGGCGCTCAGCTGCGTGGGCAGAGCTAGGGAAGTCTCGCCCCTGGATGGGGCTGTGCAGCCGGTGAGCCCCGCGCGGGCAGCGGGGCACGAGCCATGCCCAGGAGCTGCTTGTGGCGCAGAGGCAGGGACAGGCTAATCCCTTAATGCTGGTCACAATGAGATTTGATGGGGAGCAGGAGTTTGTGCCGCAGAGCCGCAGGTTTTAAAGGGTTCTGGCCACTGCCCGGAGGAAAATTCTAAGGTGGCTCTGGGTCTGTGCCCTGCTGCCAGTGCCCGCAGCGATGCCCGCTGCTTTCTGGGCCACCTTTCTGAGGTCCCTCACCCTCCTCTCTGGCCTGCCACTGCATTTCTTTAGGGCAGGGAGTACCTGACCATCTGTGCGGCCCTGGAGGTTGATCCAGAAAATGTGCCTGGGTGTGTCTAACAGCAGGAGTGGGCCTGGCTCCTCCGGGAGAAGCTGACTGCTTTTGCTTTAAAGTGTTTCTATATAAATAACCAGAACACCGTGTCCTTGAGCAACAATCTTGTTTTCCCCTCCCAGCTAACATCACAGCACAGGATGGCTCAGTGCAAAGGGGAGCAGGGACACTGCTGAACACCCAAAATTTTCTCCTTTGCAGGAAGTGTGTTCTGGCAAGTGTGGGCCTGTTTATAATGGAGGAGGAAAATGGTGTGAGGGAATAGAGTGGCACTTCACTGGGGTTTCACAGGCACTGGGTGGATTGCTGAAAGGGAGGCCTGGACACCTCTGAATTCAGCCTTGGGCTGCATGGCTGTGACCCAATTAGAGCCAGGTCTTATCAGCCTCTGTGTCCAGAAGAACCAATTCAGCGACAGACCCACCTGAAACATCCATTTCCCTGCATTTTCCTTCCTCCTCAGATGACTCTTTTCCTGCCAAGCCTACCTCTGCTTTTGCTGTGCCAAGGAGAAGAGAGCTCATTCCCACCCTCCAGCCATCAGGTCCCAAGCACCACCTCAAAGGCACTACTCTAATGGAGCAAAAGCATTCCCAAGCCATTCCTGTCTCCACAAGCTTTTGCTTCCACTCAGAACTGCCTGAGTTATATTTGAGTTAATTTGGAGTGCCCACAGTCAGCAACTTCCAGAATGCTGCTGGTGGGTCAGGAATGGGGAGTGAGCAGCAGCTCTGCCCCTCAGCTCTGTGCCCAGGGAGGGGACCAGCAGCTCTGCCCCTCAGCTCTGTGCCCAGGGAGGGGACCAGCAGCTCTGCCCCTCAGCTCTGTGCCCAGGGAGGGGACCAGCAGCTCTGTCCTCAGCTCTGTGCCCAGGGAGGGGACCAGCAGCTCTGTCATCAGCTCTGTGCTGGCAACAGGGGCTGATGCCCAACATTCCCACGTGGAGCAGGGAGCAGCATCAAGGGCAGGGCTGGGACTGAACTGTGCCTAACCCCATGACACCTCCATGCACCCCTGTGTTGCCACACAGGTTTTAGTGGCTGTAACAGGGAAACACACCCAAGTCAACAGACATTTCTCCCAGACAATGGCAGTCTCCAGGCACACACCCATGGATGAGCCACAGGCAGCACTCGGCTCTGCTTCCACCACCTCGGTCCCACCACCTTGGTGGCAGCAGACTCCAGGCAGGGGAGTAGCCAGGGCTGTGGATCTGAAGCCTGGCTGTTTGTCCCCTTGTCCCTCCTGCCTCCTTATTCCACTCTTCATTTCCTGTTGCCACCTTTGGCCTGCCAGCACTAAGCTCTGCTTGAGCCCTCAGGCATCCATCAGAGCTTTGTCCATTCTTCCCTGCTGGGCCACTTCCACCTCAGCGTGTCCCTGGCACAGGACCTGCTCAGGCTGCAGGTGAGAGGCTGCTGAGCTGGATGGGGACCTGCAGCAGTTGTTACTTTACACCTTCTGCTGAGCCCCTGGTGCTGCCCTGTCCATTAACCTGACAGCATGCCCAGCCTCACAGCCCATGGCAAGATTCCTTGGGTGGTGTTAGTGAATCCTCTTCCCAGGCTGAGCTGCTGCTTTTCACCAGGGTGGTGGGGTGGCTGCTGCCATCCCACCTGCTGGATGGGCTGCAGGCATTGTCCAGCTGGATGGAAGCCAGGGCAGGCTGGAATGCTGCAGAGGAGCAGCACCAGCCTCTTCTCATGGGGTATCAAGGCTTTGGGGACCCTGTGGCAAAATGATCAGCATCCCTTGGGAACAGAGGGGGAAGAGAAGTGGCTGAGTGGGGCAGGAGGAGCTGGGCTCTGACTCCATGAAGGGCACTGGGCCATAAACCCAGCACGGTGGCTGTCGTTTGTGTGTCGGCAAACATGTTGAGTGGGCTCGACTATTGATTCTGACCGTATAAACCGGTGTTGTGGCACTTGTTCAGGTTTGTGCAGGTTTTACAGCTCTTGTTATGAGAAGTGCCCATGTATTTGGCTTTGCTCCTTCCTTCAGGTCTATGTGTTGACATTGGCCCTCCTAACCAGAGCGTTGGACCATGCCAGGAAGCTGAGTGTGTGTCTCTCCTTGTGTTTCCCACTTTACCAGGGGTTATCACCTTTCAAAGCTCACACACACCCATGGCTGGGACAGGTTTCTGGTGCAGAGGCAGGTGAAAGGTGTCTGCTGGTCCCCACCACTGGCTGGTGGGTTTGGGTTCCCTGTGCTCAGTGACAGGAGATGAGCACCCACCCTGACAGATGGATGAGCAAAACTGCAGGGTTTGCAGACTTGTTGGGATTTGTTGCAGACTGCCCTGGGAAGTCTGGAGTGGAATGAGCGAGGTCTGTAAGGCTGTGATGAAGATCAGGCTGTCAAACCAACTTGCACGTGCAGAGAAGGAAAAGATGCCCCCAGAGCACCATCACAGAGGATTTGGGCTATGCCTGGTCACCTACAGTGGAGGCACATACTATCACCCATTCCCTGCCTCCAATCCGCTTCCCAGCAGGAGCTGCCAGCAGCAGTTGTGCCCTCAGGGACACCTTGGTGCTGGAGGCTCAAGGGCTTGAGCTCACAGTGATGGTCCCCATCTGTCACTCAGCACCAGAGCTCCATTACTGTGGGGATGCAGCTGGAATCCCTCTGGTGACTGCAGGATTTTGGGATAGGAAGTCTGGTCAGCCTGGCAGAGCCAGGGTCTGTTTGCTCCTTGACTGCTGGTGCATTTTCACAGCCACTTGTTCTGCATGAGCTTCTCCTCCCACCCCTTTGGTGCAGCATCCTGAGCCTACCTTTATTTTTTGAGACATGTATTTCCTGAAGGGATTTGCTGAGTAATCTCTCTTGATGCCCAGGCTGAAGCTTGGACAGGAGCCATTCCTGGGAGTAATTGCTTCTGGGACTCAGCTTTGCTCAGAGGCCCCAGTGCCTCTGCCCAGGACAGGAGGGCAGACCCCTCAGCCCCGGGTTCACCATACAACCCCTACCTTCAAACTCGCCTTCCGTGAAAATTCTGCAACATTTGCCATTTCCACATACATTTCTGCCAGGAACCTTGTTTGCTTGAATATTTGAGGAAAGCAAACAGAGAAGGAGCCTGAACACAAACAGTCATGGATGTTTTTTTGCAGTCTTTGCCCTGTTCTAACCCCAAGCCTGCCAGCAGGCATCCCCTGATGTACCCCTTGGCTCTGCCCTGTGTGCTGCCCTGTCCCCCACTGCTGGCCCTGGTCCTGCTGTATGTAAAAGAAACTCACCCAGCCCTTGCTGTCTGTGGGACCACCATCACTCACACCCCTTTGCACTCATGCTAAGTAAACATTGTTTAATGCCATTTAAGAAATGTCAGCAGATGACTAACAGAGTACAACTGGCAGACTTACACCTGCCCTGCTGAGCTCAGAACATCTCTCAGACACTCCTCAAGCCTTCCTGAGCCTCTTGCTGCTCACCTTCCAGAGCTGGAGCTCATTTCCTGCTGACAGCAGCCCTCTGGGCTCACTCTCCCTATAAAAATACCATTGTGTTTCAAGCTAAGCCCAAGCTGAGGGTGTGCTGCTGGCCCCATAAATGGCTGGAATGAGGTGGGAGAAGTCACAGCCCTGTGGGTAAGTGCAGACACCCTGTGACACTGAGCAGCATCCCCAGCTCTTCCCCAAGGGAACCTTCACCAAGCACCAGAAAACAGCTCTTGGGAGCAGACCAAGGTGCTAACACAGTGATTGTCCCTTTTGCATCCTAGCAAATACCTGTGTTTATTCCTGGCTGCACCAATACTCTGCTCAGGCACTGGAACGTGCTGACCTTGCCAGCACCAGTGTTACAGCCACCCCAACATCCAGCAGGGATGGCCAGAGTGGGAACAAGGAGGGGGGATGTGCCAGATGTCCTAAGAACCATCAGTCCCTGATGGCTGCTAGGCCACGGACACAGAGAACAAGGAGTAAACAGAGGAGTTAAAGAGCAGCTGACATGAGCAGTCAAGGAGGAAAAGTTCAGTTGAGGTCATATCTAGAGGAAACCTGTAAAAAACTTGATGTATTTGGCAGTGAAAATTAAAAATACTCAGGAAATCGGCCCCCTCTTCTGTTTCTCAGTTGAAACTATTCCCCACATCTGACCAGAGCTCCTGAGCAGCAATGACGTCTCGCATTTTTCAGCTGTTTTCCAAAGCTGCTTTACTGCTCAGGGCCAGCCCTAATCATGCACTGGTCCCTGCTGTAACCACCAGCCCTGGGGATCCCCAGCTCTGAGAAGATCCAAAATATGAAGGAGCAGTGCTGCCTGCACTGGGATTGAGACCAATTGCCCAAATTGTGCCCAAGTCTCAGTGGGAGGACAAAGGTGGGTCAAGGGACCCATCCCTTCCTCGCTGCCCAGGAGATGTTCCCCTTGCCCCCTCTCCATCCTCCACCTTCTGACACACCTATTTGCAGCTTCCTGCAGGATTTAGCACCAGTGGAGCCCTTTCCAGCTCACAGCCTGTCCTCAGGTGCTGGTGAGGATTTTGAATGTGCCTCCAGCTCCACATCTCTCCAAAGCTGCAGCATCAGTCCCTTGTCCCCCAGGGACCCACCCAGGGTGCTGGGGACAGGCCAGCTTTGTCACTGCCTGGCAGGGCATCCTCCAAGTCCTTTACACAAGGCACAGGTCTGATGGGAGGGAGATAAGTGCCCCTAGGGTGTCATTTAGGGAAAATGCTGGTGATAGTCTGGAGCAGGGATGGATGGGGAGGGTTGCAGTAACTGCAGTGGGGGGATGCTCCTACTGATGCCACCACTGCCAAGAGAGGGCCAGACCTGCTCGCTGTCCCAAGGCTGAATGCCAGTGCCAAGCTTCCCCATGGGAATATACCCCTGGCTTCAGCTGGATGCTGAAATCCTGAAGCTCCTAAGACAGATGGGGAGAAGGGAAAATCAGAAAAATCTTTCCATCTTCCAAAAGAAACTGAAAATAACTCTGTGACCCTCTCCAAGGCTGAAGGCTCCTCTGGAGGACCCTGGCGTGCCCCCATCAGGCATGCCAGCTCCATGGCCTGTCCTGCTGAGGGCTGGGAGCTGCTGGCTGCAAGGGCATCACTATGGGCATGGCTGGGGCTCAGCACCACCTCTGCTGTGTGAGCACCCACGCTGCTTTCAAAGGGAATAAACTTCCCTCTTGGGAAGGGTTTGGCCACCACCTTGCCATCTGCAGGATGGTGCATCCTGGCTGCTGTGCCCCCTCTGCTGCCCAGCCCCAACCCAACCCTACAGAGCTGCTGGGGAAGCCAGGCACTGCCCAGTCCCACATCCCACCAACCCTTCCTCACCTCTATTTGGATAACTTTTTCACCCGATTTATTTACAAGGACTCCCCTCCTTCTGCCAACACTCTGAGTTTCCTCTCGCTTTAGTCTGGGAGGCCCATCTCACTTTTTTATTCTTATTATTTCTCTCTCCCCCTTGCCTGGCCCCAGGCTTGCAGCGGGTGCCGGCCAGAGCCTGCTTTTGTTCAGCCACAGGAGCAGATGGGGAGAGCGGCCACAGGTGGGATGGGCAGTGATTCCTCCCCATCCACCCCACAGCACCTGGCTCTGCCTGCACTTGCCCAGGCTCAGCACGTGGCTCACTTACTGACTCTCAGACTGAAAAGTTAAAACCAACTTTAAAAATCATAATTAATAAAAATAATTTTTAAAAAATTCGGGAGAAAATTACTGTCAGAAAAATTTACTTGCCTGTGTTTAATGTCACTGATATGCCAGGGCTGGCCAGTGGCTGCTCACA